GCATCGTTTCAAACTCGTCGTCTGGAAGTCCACCATGAATCAGAGTGATGTGCTGACGTGATACTCCATCATCAGGACTGAAGCAATGGATGATCGTAAATGAGCAAAGCGTTCAACATGAACTTACTTTGCTTCAAGTGTTTTGAAAGGATTCACTCCCGCCAAAACGGCAACCGCCAAAAAACAGAAATCAGCGGCATTGTTATAGTCGCGCTTAGCCAAGACTTTTCCAAGATCGTAAACCTTAAAAACCGAATTGGTTGCAAATATAAAACTTGGTAGCAAAGAAGCACTGACAGACTCCATTGCCTCCTGAGATGAAAGGTTTGCCAGGACAATAGCAGCATGAGTGCGCCAACATCCAGAATCGTCACCGGTGGGGTTCATCTGAGGTGAAAGCGCAAATAAAGAAGCACTCTCGAAAAGACAGAACGCCAAATGACTTACAAGGATGGGCACGTGCTTCTTAGTAGCCACCGATACAAGTGTTACTACAGGATTGCACTGTGGCCTAGTCGCCAAAAATCGTTCTTCAATTTCAACAAGCTTCGCTGGGTCATGCGCAAGCAAACGCCTAGCAACAACCATTGCATCAGCGTAAAGTCCATCTCGAAGTGCACTCTCGATTGCTTCCTAAGCCAAGAAAATGTTAGCAAACATTACCCTTTTTGTGGAACTTACAAGGATATGCCCTCCAAGAAGCAAGTCCGTGAAGCGATCATAAGCTCTTGCATCGCATCCGTAGTTTCGCGCGTTCGCGATAGCCGTGGATGTACTATCTGCAGGGGTGTTACTCTTCTCCCGATGCGAGTGGTACTGCTGCGTAACAGCTTTAGATGGAGCAGATCCAATTTCGACCAAAAGGCGAGCTATGTCCGGACCAGTCACCCGCTTTAAAAAAGATTTCTTATCAGTCAGCTGTCAATTTAGTAGTGAAAATAGATACCCCTTGTTGTTGAACAATCATGCCAAGCAATTGCCATATCAGCAAGCAATCAATAACGTCATTGTCACGTGGATTCTCCGAAGCCACCTCGCAGCTCCTGATACGCTTAATCTGGCGTTCGATGTACAGGCGAACTGAGTGCGTCGGTGTCTGACCAATGAGGAGAGGGCCTGGAAAAACTTGTTTTATAGTGCAAAACAGAAATGGCAAGGAAAGTAACCTTTGAATGTCTGGGCAGTGTCAATTAGACGCATAGTATGAGGGTCATTGAGAATAGCTTTGACATCATCGATCTGTACGACGGATACAGATAAATCCGGATGAACGGTGACCATTTTTCCACCATAACCAAATGTGACGAATGCATGTGGCACACGATGCTTGAGTGGAGCTTCAAAAAAGATAGAGTTCCCAAATACACGGGATGAGAACAACTGAATTTACCCCGTTGACTTGATTCAATGCTCAGAATGTCCGAGGTTCGATCATCATGATTTTCATCCATACTAGCCCGCTCGCTCATGCTAAATATAGCTGACAATTAAGATGCAAAGAAAAACTTCCTCCCACACCAAGCAAAGCGTCCAGACCCCAAACATGGAAATCATCTGAACAAAGTAGAAAAAACCCAAAGGTGACTGCTACCATAAAGTTAAAAAAGGAAGGACAGATCTACACCATAATAATCATGCGACTTCAGTGACAGCAATTAGCTTTGATTTTTTCAGTCACATATTGCCTGCTGAAACCGTTGTCAATATAAATTCCACCTCAAAGCGGTATAAATCATGTCCCTCCAAGGAAACATCCCATTTCCACGAAACTCACAAAACTGGAGCAGAATTAGTTCTCAAAAGCAGATATCGTCGCGGTATCTCCCCGAGGGGCACAAAGTCCTGACCTTTGCTTAACAATCAAATATAAACTACACTTCTTGGAGCAAAAACAAAGTATTTTTTATAAGGGATTTCAGTACAATCCTAAAACCTAGTTGCCCGTCACTCTGTTAACAATATCACAAGGACTTTGGCACTTTCACATATATTAGTATTTCACGACTTAACATAAAAACCGTAGTTCTGCGATGAAGTGATAGTTATTGTAACCATAAGAAAAAATACACAAGCTAAATCTTTGAGAGAAAAAAAGAAGAGATTATGTGCAATATCAAAAATTAAACGCAACAAGCACATGGTCAAAATGCAGTGGACACCCACCCGTCTACACTTTCGCGTTCATCGCTGAAAAGCTGACGCTGGCTAGCCTCATAGGCTTTCTGCGATTCAGCCAACTTCCTAGTGAGATACTCCTCTTGCATAGACTTGCAAATCTGTAAGAAAAAAAGCTGAATGAGAAGTTTAAAAAAGCTTGATAAAAGTGACCTTCCACAATGCTATGTTGTCAGCGTCGCCGTCACAACTGTACTTGAAGTATTCGCGGTTGAACTTGCGATGGAAATCACCCATATCGTTGTACTGTTTCTTGTATACGGCCACATAAAAAAGATAAGCTGCTTTCTCGATCGGAGGGAGTCTGTGATATTCCGGTGGCGGTGGGTCGTTTACGAGAATCGAACGTACACGAGCCTATAACAAGAGGCTTCCTATCAAAGGAGTTGAAGCCATACTTCGGAGACAGATTTCAAAAACGGATAGTCCAGAAATGTTTCGAACAATCATAAGAACGAAAAACCTTAAAACTCTTCATCTGAACAACAAAAAGCACAATGTATCAGAAAGATCTCAAGAACGAATGACGAAGAGAATTTTAAAATGAGAAAAGGAATACCTGATCAAGATGAATTGCGCCAAAATAATACATCTCCTCGCCAATCGTATAAGGATCGGCGTCTCCTGGGCCAAATCTTCCCTAAACCAAGCTGCACTGCATAAAATGTTTCAGAAAAAAGGAACTAACCTTGCGAGTATACTTCCTCATCTCTTCCTCGCTGTCTCCTCTCTCTGGATCATCAGAGTCTGATTCTTCCGACACGCTACTGTGCGCGTCGTCATAAACATCGTAGAAACCGTATCGTCCTCCAGCTCTTTGGAATCTGAGTCACAGCAAAATAGATAATAGTTAAAAGACGTTCACTTTATAAAATTAACTAGTCACATTTCCCATTGTTTACCTTTCCATGGCCCTCGCATCATATGATGACTGCGGTCGACGCCGCTCTTTGTACATTCGGGATTGCTGAACGAAATAATCCTGGGGGTTATTTGCACCCATAGAGCCGTGCACGGAACGGCGTCCAGATGGATAGTGTCTGCAGCTTCATATATATAAGCGTAATAACAAGAAACACTTTGACTTGAAATGGATACCCAGGGTATGGCTTCGACGAGAGACCTGAGTAAACTCTGGAGTCAAACTGCTCGCCAGTTTCACGAAAGTCAGCTTTCGCCCGGCTGCTAGGACGGCTAAGACGACTCAGTCGAGATCTGTCAAGGATACTTCCTCAAATTTAGCTACCAACAAGTGCATTTTAAATAAGGTTTCAAGAGAATTTCTTAGACACTTTAAGCAGATGCGGACAGATGCAAAGTTCCTACCGCCTTGCAGCATCCACAAAATCATCACCATATACCGCAGGACGGTTTGAGTCATAGGACATATCCAAAGCAGCTTCCGGTTGAGAAAACATCGAAACATTACCTAGAGCATATATATAGCAACAACATCTTCGATGATTGCTACACATACCTTCTTCGGTCTTACCGCCGTACAGTATACTTGTGTCAACCGAACGCCCTTGTACGCCGGATGGTTTCGCTAATGCCAGAACGGACCGACGACCGAGGCTGGAATTCAGAAGAATAAATCATGGAAAAAAAAGTAGTCTGGGTAGAAAAAGTATAAACACTACACTGGCGAACAGGCCCTTGGAAGAGAGGTGCGAAGGTCGCTGAGAGTAAAGTCATCGCTGCTACTACTATTGCTGCTCGGTACATTTCTTGTTAGCTTGCAATGTCGTTTACGCCGCAATTTCGGTCTTTTATAGCCATCCATTTGCGGAGAGACCTGACGCGACATTAACGTTGGATGCTAAAAGTATGGCGTGGCTTCTAGCGCGCAATCCGCGAGTACGTGCTCGCCACAAGTTCGCACGCGACAACCGCGCAAAAGGTGTCTCCTTAAATCTAGTATTTGAGATATCGGTTTCTGAATGTAGCAATTAGGAACCATATGAGGTATTAGCTGATATATCATGCAGAATATCAGAGCTCTTGATTTTCAGTCGATTTCCCGTACTGGTAAGAACACGTCTACGTAAAATCAACAACAAAAAAATCATAAAAACGCCTTCGTGTCAGTATATAGTGCTTGCTTTCACACTAGGAATGACATATTAACAGGAAGCTATTTTTTTTTATTTATTAGGGCTATTTCGCACAGCGGAGAGGTAAGGTCGAAGAATAATCCTGGACCAAGCTTTTCCAAGATCATGCTTCAAAAAGAAGATTGAAGTCCACAGAATGTTTCCTGCAGACCTATTGGTGGCATTTGCCATCAGCGGATTCCCAGTTCGTGACGACGATCGAAACTCGCTCCGTGAGGGTTCCGCTCGATATTGATCCAAACGTCCCATGATACCGGAGAAGCTGAAAAATTTTGAAATGTCTTATATCTTATGTTACCCTTTAAGATGGCATAAAACGTACTGCTCCTTGAATTTCTTGTAGCGACTCTGAACACTTCTTCGCTCTGGGCCATTTCTAGTAGAAAGAGAGCCAGTAGTGCTATCGCTATGCTCGGCAGCTGCCGCTGATGCATGAGTATAAGGTCGATCATGATTGATTTCAATTTCTCTGTTAGTCGGTTCAGCGTCCGTCCTAAACAATAATCAAGTTCTGAAGCATCATTAAAAAAGTAATATGGAAAAGATAACAACGTACCTGTCTTCACAAGTGTTTGTTCCCTTCTGCGCATCACCACAACTTATGGGAGTGCTTGTTGCTTGGACCGTTACTGGGCTTATACCACTTCCTGCTGTCGTCGGTTCTGGAGTGACTCGCGCAGGAGGCTGTACTGATTCGCTAGCCTGTTGAACATCTCCATGAGAAAAATCGAGAGCAACAGACACATTGGGATCTTGCGCCAAATCATCATTACTCATTGATGGTTGAGGCGTAGTAGTAGGCACGGGATCAGCTCCTGCCTATAGTTGCACAACTTCAAAGACTACAATGTCGTGAAAAATTGATTAGAAACAAAAAAAAAAGAATATCCTAGCAATGCTAATCACAAAGATAAAGTGCTAAACATTTTCGAAGAGAACACCAACCGCCATTACGTCATTCTGTGCCGGTATTTGTACAGCTGATTGTTGTGGTATAGGGGGCGGTGCGATTTGCATTGGTTCCGGCTGTAGAATAAAACTTAAGTGTCACCTATTCAAGTGATGACGCTATTGTTATGTGTCTATGCTTAGACCTTACCTCCGGTCGTAAAGGCGCGACCTGAGCAACAGCGACCGGAGCGTGATCCTGCGATCGGTTTGGTTCCTCTGAGAAAATTACTTAAAATTACTCTTCCCAGCTTATCACTCATATGCTAAGCATCTAATCCAACTTATGATAGCGCGAAAGGTAACAGAAAAAGGAACTGATGACTAAAAAGATGACTGGATTTTTGCTCATACAGCTGCGGATCCTATCAAGCTGACATGAGAGTTAGAGATAAAATTTACTTGTCATAAAACAGAAGTGGCGTTGCGTTTCAGAAGCTAATTTCTTCGACTGATACTATCTCACCATGTCTTTGAACTCCAACCACCGATGATGCTGTTGACACGGGAGCCACTCTTGCTACGTCAGAGTTCTGCTCACTTCGATGTTGTATGCTGTCAGCCTCACTTAAAGGTGCTACTGAACCTTCTCTCGTTGCACCTGGAAAGGTCACAGATAGCGAAGCCGTACTTCAAACGCTGCCAACGAAGCATTGTACAAACATGGCGTATTCGCGAAGCTTGACGGATATCCAGGCGGTTCCGACTGAGTTTGACTCGCAACGTCACTTGGTGTAACCTATGAAAGTTATGCAATGAAACAGAACTTGTGGTGTGACAAATTTCCAGGCTTTTTTCACCAGTAACATTTATCGGCAAACTTATTTCGAATGAACAATGGGTATAAACTGAAAGCATTTTTTATAACGCATATCTCAAAGTATAAGTTTTATATG